GCCATGGTCAAGTGGGCCCTGGTCACGTGTGCCCTGGTCAAGTGTGCCCTGGTCAAAGTGTGCCCTGGTCAAAGTGAGCCCTGGTCACGTGTGCCCTGGTCAAGTGTGCCCTGATCAAAGTGGGCCCTGATCAAGTGTGCCCTGGTCAAAGTGTGCCCTAGTCAAGTGTTCCCTGGTCAAGTATGCCCTGGTCAAAGTGTGCCCTAGTCAAGTGTGCCCTGGTCAAAGTGGGCCCTGGTCAAAGTGTGCCCTAGTCAAGTGTGCCCTGGTCAAGCATGCCCTGGTCAAAGTGTGCCCTAGTCAAGTGTGCCCTGGTCAAAGTGTGCCCTAGTCAAGTGTGCCCTGGTCAAGTGTGCCCTGGTCAAGTGGGCCCTGGTCAAGTGGGCCTTTGTTAAGTGGGTCCCGGTCAAAGTGGGCCCTGGTCAAAAAAAGGTTGGGAACCATTGGTCATGTTGTAAAGTGAGTCCTAAAATGGCAGCAACATCTTCACAGACCATTTATACAAGTTTCAAACTAGTATTGAAGAAAGTGGTTGATGGTTCCATCGGCAATCCTGGAGCCATTTGAGGGCCAGGATTCTACAGCATCAAGCTATGGCGATGACATGAACTACAGAGCAGTGATGTTCATTAAGAGCTTTCTTTTGCATGCTTTCCTGGGTGTTTGTTGTCAAACTGCTGTACTTTGACGTAGTTTCAAAATACATGAAATGTAGGAAGAAGTGAAAGTATTCAAGTGCAACAGTTGTCCAGAACTAAGGCTGCGTGTACCCTGTAGACTGAATGCAGTTGGAGACCACGACAGTCTAGAGGTGCACCCAGTGACAACCAGAAATGATCTAAGTGGTAATGTTTAACGGGAGATGGGATGTTGCAGAAATGAAACTTATTATTTTCTCCCCTCCTTGCTTAGCACGCCCTTGTGATCTGCAAGTGAAAATAGAGGACTGGTCGAATGGAAGCATCTCTGAACAAAGACAAAAGGCAGCAGAAGACACAAAGCCCTTCCCCGAAGATTTCTATTTTATTGATCTCACTTGATTCCAGTTGATTCTTGTTCTTGCAATTCTCATGTAATTCTTCAAATAAACCAATTGTTTCTCAACCTTCCTAATGCCGCAACCCCTTAATAGAGTTCCTCATGTTGTGGTGACCCACAACCATAAAATTATTTTCGTCACTACATGATAACTATAATTCGGCTCCTGTTATGAATCATAATGCAAATATCTGATTCATAATTCCTTGGATTCTGCTTCCTTGGAGACTAAGACGCGGAACAATGGCTTCAAACTACAAGAGAGGAGATTCCATCTGAACATGAGGAAGAACTTCCTGACTGTGAGAGCCGTTCAGCAGTGGAACTCTCTGCCCCAGAGTGTGGTGGAGGCTCCTTCTTTGGAAGCTTTTAAACAGAGGCTGGATGGCCATCTGTCAGGGGTGATTTGAATGCAATATTCCTGCTTCTTGGCAGAATGGGGTTGGACTGGATGGCCCATGAGGTCTCTTCCAACTCTTTGATTCTATGATTCTATGTATTTTCATTCACTGGACCAAATTTGGCACAAATACCCAATACACCCAAATCTGAATACTGGTGGGGTTGGGGGCGGGATTGATATTGTCATTTGGGAGTCGTAGTTGCTGGGATTTATAGTTCACCTACAATTAAAGAGCATTCTGAACCACCGACGATGGAATTGAACGATGGCACACAGAACTCCAATGACCAACATAAGGGTTTGGTGGGCATTGACCTCGAGTTTTGGAGTTGTAGTTCACCTCCATCCAGAGAGAACTGTGGACTCAAACAATGATGGATCTGGACCAAAATTGTCACAAATACTCAATATGCCCAAATGTGAATACTGGTGGAGGTTGGGGGAAATAGACCTTGACATTTGGGAGTTGTAGTTGCTGGGATTTATAGTTCACCCGCAATCAAATAGCATTCTGAACCCACCAGCAATAGAATTGGGCTAAACTTTTCACACAGAACCTCCATGCCTCGAAGAGACTCACTGATGCGCGCCTCCCTCCGGCCTCACACACTCTCCTTTGCCTACAGATGCACACCATGCTGCCATGCGCTGTGCACACCCACCGTCCCCTCTCCGCTTTGAGTCTCAGAAACAGCCCTTCTTTTGGCTGAGAGGCCGGCCAATCAAAGCAGAGGAGGGCTTTTGGTGGGAGGATTCCCCATCAGTTTCCAAAAAGGAAGAGAAGGACAGGCGGAGAGATATTCAGCCTTCTCTGCCAAAGGCGTTTCTAAGTCCTTCAGAAATATATGTTTTCTTATGGTCTTTGGCGACTTCTCTGAAATCCCCTCACAACCCCCAGGTTGAGAAACACTGTCCTAGCAACTCATAATGGAATCTCTTCCCTAGTTTTTCATGAGTTCAGTTTCAAGCTGCATCTGTGCTGTAAAATTCAGCTTCCATGGCTCAATGCTATGCAATCTTGGGTTGCAATTTGGTCTTTTTGGCACAGAAGGTTGTAAAGCCCTTATAAAACTATAACTCCCAGGATTACATACCATTGGGCTATGACAAACTGCAATAATTCTTCGCTGAAGATGTGCTGGTACGTCTGTACCAGGAGCTCCAACTTCATTTTCTTTCTATTTTAATGTTTGCATGCATTCCAAAGTTTTAGGGATTCTGCAAAAGGTGGCTTCCTTTGGTTTGCAGTCATAGGGCAAGCCACCTGTCTATCATTGCTAAGTTTGGATCTGCCCATCCTCCCAGGGAGATGGGAAGGGAAGAGGGGGCCATTTTTAGTTAGTCTTAATGAGGAAAGCTAAGTTAGAGGACGTGGACAAGCTTCACCTGCAGAAAAGCTTCATTTCTCAAGACATTCCGGGGGGAAATTCCCAAAGCTCTGGCTGGGAGCTTGCAGCCTCTCAGCCTTACAGCATCTGAGGGAAACAGCCCTAAAGCCTTAAAGAAATTCCAGAGGGAAAACAGCTTTACAGACCCAAAGAACTCCAGCTGGAGAATCTGCAAGCTTTGTCTGGTAGGTTTACTCGGTACCAAGACGTAGTTTGGAATCGGTAGTAGATCCCACACCAACAAAACGTAGATAACAGACAGCCTGGGAGAGGTTAAAAAAGGGGTTTCCTCTCAAAGTATAAGAACAATTAACAAAGAGAGTTGCCTGTCCCTTGTGGACAAGATTAAGGAAGCGACCAGTTGATTTAAAGCCTTGAAGCATTTGTTTGACTCATTGAAGATTTGAGAAATATCTGTTTAATTTGTTCAATAATAAAGGACTTTGTTTAACCTTTCAAGCCATCTAAAGACCATTTCTTCAGGAAAATCCTTGAGGGCCTCTTTCGTGGCACCCTGGCTTCCCGCTGGGCACAAGGTGCACGTCCTATTTCAAAAGACAATTATTACAGGCCCAGCGCGTGACAGAACAGAAGATTATTCTTTTGCAACAAAAGGCCTAAAGACATTTGCTCAGCACCAGGAAACCCCAATGAGGAGATGGGGAGAGATTTGTCCCTCCATAGCGGCAGCCAGAGCACCAATAAATCGTTGAATCTGCAAAGAGGAGGACTGACTGGTACTAGGAAGTAACTCTGATATGGACTGGGAGGAAACCCCCAAAATTGTAGTTCTATGGGCTACGTTGGGTTGTGTGTCATATAGAGACATTCAAGGAGAGAATTGCTGTGGCGTATCTTAAGTTTTTATCAAAACTTTAAAATTCCAAAAAATCGGTAGATATGCAAAATCTTTCTGAAACTTGGGGGAATGATCCTCTGTTATCTCGTATCATTGCATAGAAAATTTAACGAGATAGCTCTTTTTGTTTGCAAAAAATTGGAAATTCCCCTAAAATCAGTGGATGAGTGAAATATTCTGAAACTTGGTGGGTTGATAGTGGTGGTCTATGGTGGCCATGTATAAATACATGAGAGGAAGCCACAGGGAGGAGGGAGCAAGCTTGTTTTCTGCTTCCCTTGAGACTAGGACACAGAACAATGGCTTCAAACTACAAGAGAGGAGATACCATCTGAACACGAGGAAGAACTTCCTGACTGTGAGAGCCGTTCAGCAGTGG